TGAATTATCTTTTAGAAAGATAGTGCCAGGTAGAAGAATTTTTATGTATGTAATATACATTCCTGAATTATCTTTTAGAAAGATAGTGCCAGGTAATACTCTCACAAGTAGTGTCTGAATGCCTAGCACTTACGTAGCTGCTAGGTGTGATCACTTTCATGACTTTTGAGTAGGACTCTACGAGGGAAAGATTATTTGAAAGATTATCTGAAGTACTAACTGTTTCCCTTATTATTGATAACAATGTTAGGAAGTTGATATGTTATAAAAGAGGAATCATATTAACTCAAAGATATTGAATACTAGGGGTAGTCTTTTGGACTGTTAGAAAAATTATACCTATATTTCTTTCAAGTCATTCCATATAGATGGTATCTGTTTAAGTCCGTGTACAATAGGGCCCTCTGGTGGCTCAGTCGGTTAAATTGCAATACTGCAAGCCAGCCTCAACTGCTTCAAAGCAAGTTCGATTCCAACCTTGGAGGTGACCCATATAGCATGGTAGACCTCTCTTGCCTCCCTCGCTGCTCCCCTCAGCAGTGTATTTAGTTAGTCAGCCTGTTGTAACCCCACTCTGTCTCTGGTGAATCCTCTCACCTGGCCTGCCCCCCAGTTCTTTATACATAAATAAAATCTTTAAAAAATATATGTATAATATCAATGCTCTTCCCCAGTTTTCCATACCAAGATGCATGTCACTATCATCTACTTTCTGCATTTGCTTAAGTTATTTAGCTTTTCTTCTCTCCCTAGTTGTCACTGTAATTTTTAAATTTAATGCATTTAGTTGCGTAAATTATATATTCAACATTTATCAAAGGATATATAGTAGATTTATTTATCCTTGTTCTCTATTTCCCCTTCCCAGAGGCCAGCCGCTTCCCAAAGGCCAAAGGAAGTAAGCGCATAATCTTAGGTATTCTAGAGATATTTTAGGATATATAAGTACATGTATTGCCAATATGATTTAGCTTCCTAAATCATGATGAGACAGCAGTATGGGGTCTAATTCTATTTGAATCTTGCAGATAGACTTCTTTTTTTTTTTTTTAAAGATTTATTTATTTCCTCATACAGAACTGGGGTACAGGCCAGAGATGCAGTGGGTGAGAGGATTCACCAGAGACAGAGTGGGGAGCAGAATAGGCAGATCAACGAAATACACTGCTGAGGGGAGCAGCGGGCTGGTCAGGAGAGGTCTGCCGCGCCATGTGGTCACCTCCGGGGCAGGCAGGGATTGAACTCATGCGGAAGTGGCTTAAGCTTCTCAGTGCTGTGCTTTAACCTGCTGCGCCACCAGGGAGGGCCGCAGATAGACTTCTAATGGAATTTTTTCCCAGTTTGTGCAACCTCAGGGACTGGAAATATAGCTGTATGGCCCCATTTCTATTTTTGCTGTTGTTACTCGCTTTTTCTGAGATAAGACACGGTTAGAATTCCTTGCATTCTCTCTAAATGCATGCTTCCCCCTTCTAGGAATCAAAGGTAAACAATGAAAATTCCCATACTAAGAGCCCCAAGCATGCCGAGAGCCCCAAGTCATCTGCTAAGCAATTTGATCAGCCCATTGCTGCCTATGATTATTATGATGCTGGTAATCATTGGTGCAAAGACTGCAATACCATCTGTGGGACCATGTTTGACTTCTTCACCCATATGCACAATAAGAAGCACACACAGGTAGGTATCTTGCTCTCAGTTATTTCCCTCTTTCCCTTCAAACTTCTGTATCCCCATCTGTATTACAAAGCTGGAAAATGAAACATTCTCATATGGGCAGGAGCCCCAATCTGAAGAACCAAGAGATATCAACAAAGGAGACATCATCCCCAGGGCTCAGTCCAGGGGACCTGCCTGTAACTAAACACCATGACAAGTGTAAGTGAGGCTTTTGCCTCTTTTGATTCCTTGAGTACCTGAATTTTTTGTTTCATTTTTATCCATTGCTAGTACTTGTGCTAACATATGTTTACCTTTTCCACAGGTGATTTCCGTTTAAAAAGTTGGCAGAGTGGGTGGGAGTGGGTAACTGGGGAGTTTTGCTCCTTCCTGGTTATAAGGGGAAAAAAAAAAAGAAAAGTGGGTCATTAAATTTTTAGTGCTGTTGTGTGAGCGCCTCTGCCTCTTGCAAATAGACACTGGATCCTTACAACAGACCTTGGGCTTCAAAGACCCACAGTGAGGCCAAGCAAGATGCTGTAAAACGCACTGACAAGATTACTGTTCCTGCAAAAGGTATGGCTCCTCCTTTTCTCCTTTGTGGTTGGTTTCTATTTAGCCCAGGAAGGGGTGTCCCTGAACTGAAGTACTAGGAAGCAGCATAGAGCAAGACATACCCATTACTTTTAACAGAACTGTAATGCCTTCTATAATGTAGAGCAGTGTACTAGGTCATGAAAAAATAAAGGGATCTATGAGACAAGATAGCTCTCTATCCACAAGGCCAAAAATCTAACAGATGGTAAATATCTACATACCACTAAAAGATAGCTGAATAACTTTGTCACTGGCTTATGCACCAAAATCTTGTTTTTTTGAAATCCAGGTAAAAAACAACAGTGAGAAGTATAATTTTACTGCCTATTCAACTGAGAATAACAGCATTATTTGAGTAGTTATTAGAGGGTAAGTTGAGAAGTAGTTTCTTTGTCTTTAAACTTCTCAATTTCTTACCTTTATAAGTAGTCAGAGCTTCTACATCCTTCTTATCTTCTACGTGGAAGATATGGTTGGTTGTGAGTAATTAACAGCACTTGATTTCCTCATACAAATGGTACTGGGCTAACTATTTAGGAGCATAATTTCAAAATCTCCTAAAATGCTAGTTGGAATTTGAGAAGAATCAGCAACAGAAATGAGTCTGGCTCAGGAAACTTCTAAATTAACCAGTTAGTGTTCCCAAGAGGAAGTAGAAGGTATAGAGGTGCTGAGTTCAAGTTTTAAGTTGGAACAACTATGTCATTAGGATGAACCTGAGTGCTGTTTCTGATTCAAAGGTAGGTAGGTAAGGCTTTCAGTACCATTAACCATTTTACTGCAAAGGGAATATGGGGATTTTCTTTGGTTGCTATCATCCTGGGTAGAATGACTTATTTTTTTGACTTTCTTCTGCTTCTTCCAGGTTCTGAGTTTTTGATTCCCATCACTGGATATTACTGCCAGCTCTGTGAGGAATTTTTGGGGGATCCAATTTCTGGAGAGCAACATGTGAAGGGTCACCAACACAATGAGAACTATAAGGTTGGTCTTTGTAGTAACTGGTGGAATGTCCTCTTTTCTGCAGTAAGTCTTTTGACTTTGTCAAACAATCTCAGAGCCAGAAAAGTTACTGAACACTTTAAATTCCATATAAACACTAGGAAGTTCTCAATCCTAGGGAGATCTGCTGATCCATTACACATTTATCCTTGTGGAAGATGGCTCTTGGGATTTCTACTAAATGAATTCTGATAGTGAGTGATAGGGCTAAGATTTTTTTTTTATATGTAGTATTTTTTATATAATATTTTGACCAGTTGTTGAGTTTTTACTTTTTCTTTTCCTAGAAATACATGGATGAAAACCCACTGTATGAGGAGCGGCGGAATCTGGACCGCCAGGCAGGCTTGGCTGTAGCTCTAGAGACAGAAAGGCGACGGCAGAATGAGTTAAAACGCAAACTTAGTGAAAAGTCAAAGGAAGAGAAAAAAGAAAAAAAAACAAAGATTGTGAAAGAAGTAAAGGAGGATGAGACAGTCTCTGAGGAATTAGAAGATCAACTTTCTGAGGGTGGAAACTCACCTGAAAGGACTGAAAATAGAAGGAGGCCTAGCATCAAACTCCAGTTAAAAGAAGAAGTAAAGAAAGAATCACCATCATCTTCCGCTTTTGGGAAATTCAGCTGGAAAAAGCCAGAAAAGGAGGAAGAAAAAAGCTCAGTGGTGACCTCGAATATTTCCAAGGAAGAGACTGTGGAAAGCAGTAAGGACAAAGAGGACAGCAAAGCTGAAGCTGGAAAGGCAAAACCCATAAAAATCAAGCTCTCTGGGAAAACTGTTGTTGCACATACCAGTCCTTGGACACCTGTTGTGACAACTTCAACCCAGACTAAGATCCGACCCAATCTGCCTATCCCATCCACAGTGCTCCGCAAGTCAGGTTCAGCCACAGTGAGCAAGCCAGCTCCTCTTAACACCTTTCTATCCATCAAGTCCTCTGGGACCACTGCTAAGCCTTTGCCAGTGGTTAAAGAGTCATCAGCTGATCTCCTTTTGCCTCCTGATATCATCTCCAAAGCATTTGGAGGAGAAGAAGTGATTCTAAAAGGGTCTCCAGAGGAAAAAATGGTACTGGCTGAAAAGACTGAGCCACCCCATATACCTGAACAAATGCTGCCACCTCTACCACCACCCCCTCCACCACCACCACCACCACCCCCAATTATATCTCATCCAACTGCCCCATCACCTACTCAAGTAAATGCGGTCTTGGCTCCAGTAAAACCAAACTCAGCTGTATCGCACACACTCAGCCCTAGCTTCCTGGGTCCTAACATTTTGAACCCAGTATTGCCAATAGCCATTATGGCCTCTGCACAGCCAGCTGCCATGCCTTCTGATGAGACAGCTCCTGGGGTGAGTGAGAGTGACCGGGACCAGACCCTATTCTCTGTTTTAGTACGTCCTCCACCTCCCCTTTCAAGTGTATTTAGTGAACAAGCCAAAAAATTGGAAAAGCGAAATTCATGTTTAGCCACAGCCAATGCTAAAGACTTGTATGACATATTCTACAGTAGTCGTGGAAAGGGAACCCCTGAGACTAAGTTGAGTGGCAGTTCATTGGCCAATGGGGAAAACAGCAACCTCTCTAAAGCTGAAAGTTCAGACACCTCTTCTACTTCTTTGAAAAGCAGTGCATCACAAGAGGAGTTGCCTCCAGTTAGAAGTTCCGTTTCTGCTTCTTTAGTCAGCAATTCTGAAAAGTCCAATGCAAAAACTCTGGTTTCCGTAGGGAAATGGTCAGTGGTAGACCACGTAGACTCAAAAAGCAGAGGCAATAGCTATGGTTTCCTACAGCCTCTCACAAGGTTGTGCCAAAGCAGACCTTATGAAACAATTACCCCAAAGACAGACACTTTGGCCATGTGGACTGCTAGCTCTTTCCAGAATAATGCTAATAGGGACATATCTGCAGAGGGAAAAATTGAACTTGACCTGGAAGAACCAGGGCCACCAGGTGTAGAACCAGTCCCTCAGCTTTCAGATACACACTGTCAGCAGCTGGTGGAAGCCCATCTTACAGAATCTGGTAACCAGGATGTGAAAAGCCAAAAACTCTGCCAATCAAAGGATTGTGGAGAAAATGACCTAGAGACAAACACTGAACTAAAAGAAAGGAGAGCTAAACTTTCTGAGAGGAAGATAAGTATCCACATTGGGCTCAGTAACATACAGGATTCTAATTTGAATCATGGTAACAGATACATATGGAAGGGAAAAGTAGAACAGCCTGTGTTCCAAGTCATTGACAAAAAGACTGAACAGTCCAATAAATTGATGACAGGAAGTGAAACTCAAAATAAAGTAATGAGTGAATTGAGTCCACGAGATCACTCTACCACAAAGACAAAAATAGATTCATTTCCATCAGAAGATAGGTCTTTGCTCCAGAATCCAGAAGATAAACCTGTGAAAATTTCTGCCTCAGAAGTGCTCCTTCAGTCCCCAACCAGATCAGATATGTGTTTAACAGATAGTGCACAGGAACAAGGAGTTTCAGTTGGTAGTGAAGGATGGCTAGAAAATTCAGGTCTAGAATCAGCTTCTAAAACCTCTAGGTGTGGAAATCTCAAACTCAAGAGAGAAAAATCAGAAGACCTTCAGGGTAAAATGACCTATGAACTGGCTGTTTGGGATGATAAAAAGAAGAAGCCAAAGATCTGGGAGAATCCAGAGGGACAAGAAGTAGAAGTCCTGGAGCTACCAGATGTTCATCCAGAATTGACAGTGACACTAGAAAGCAAGGTCTTAGAAAACTTTGATGTTCCAAATTTAAAGGTAGAAGATCTTGCTGCCCTGGGGGAGATGGGTGTTGATTTCTATAATACTCAAGCAGAAACAATACATAGATCCCCACCTTCTGTGACTCAAAAAGTGTGTGAACAAAATTCTCTGTCATCTATAGGATGTAACCCCACCACACTCACCAACTTTTCTGAGTTTTCATTAGATTCTTCTAAAACCCTGGTGCTTAACTTTGGAGCAGAGGGTGAACAAAACTCATCTAATCTCAGAAGTGGGAGGATCACTTCTAATATTTTGAAAACTGAACTTCCTATAGAAAATGTTGACCTTGGCTTGGGGAACTTGGAGGGAACACATCAGGCCCTTGACCTGTTAGCAGGAGGAATGATGCCTGAGGAAGAAGAGGAAACTTCTCAACTAGAGAAACAAGATTCACTAAGATTGGAATCAGAAACAATTACCTCTGCCGGCCTTGGGCCATCTCCTTGCCTTCCTGACCTTGTTGACTTTGTTTCACGGACATCTGGAAATCAGAAGGAGAAGTTATATTCTCCCTCTGGGCCAGGTGATCCTCCTATGTGTAGTTCGCTGGAGATGGAGCCACTACAGCTAGGAATACCGAATACATCCATCACAGAGGTAGCAACTCCTCACGTTGGTGAGGACAGTGACAACACTTTGAATTTGGTAAAGTCTGTGACTTCAGGGTCCCCTGTGAGGGAGCAGGTAGTTGGAGGCAGTATGATCCTTCAGGAAATAACTGCACAGGAAACATTAGTTGATACCTTCCAGGACCACACAGAATCCAGTGTTCAAGACTAAGAATATACACCCAGAACTACTTGTGGATAAATCAAATTGACTTCATAAATCAGGTGCCCGGATAGTGAAGTCAACTGTTTCATCTGGAACCTACACCAAGTGATACAGTCAGCATCTTTTCAGTAAATGTTTACCTCCTTTCCTTTTTCCCTTTCTCCTTAATATCAGACAAATCAATCACAACTACTTCTATACATATCTGTAAAAAAAAATGTATTTTCTGTTAATTTTTTTCTGACAATTCTCTTTGTCATTAAAATCAAATATCTATCTGGCTCACCACATAGTGTGCTTTGATTGTATTTTGGCCTTGACTCTGCCATTCTGGAATGTGGGGAGGGGAAAACAACTAACTTCTCCAATTGCTATGTTACATTCCCACCCAATTTTGTGGGCATCTGATGAATCTCTAGGAAAAATACCAGAGAGTCTGCTGAAATGGAAAACTACTGATGAAGGAAGGTCATCTCTTAGGCTTCCATTTGAATGGGCCTGCCTTAATATTGTTTGAAATACAGTGTGAGTAGCTCTTTTGTTTACTGTTTTTACTTAATGGCATGTCAACCTCACTCTGTTGCCTTTGCTTGAGATGGTCTTGCTAACCCACAAATCTGTTTGGAAATCGCTTTGTAAACATGGAAGAAAATCTAGCAGGCTCAGTTTTAGAAGACAAGTTGGTAAGGCTTATTCATGGCTCAATACCAGGAACAGATACGCATTTCAGGTCCCTTTTATTTTTGAAATGGCCTCCATTCATTGTACTGTGATCCAGCA